AGTAGCTTCAGAGCATGTCCTCACCTTTGATCGAATCTCTGCCACAGATTTGTCGTGAAATGGAACTTTACCGTCGTTGTAGATCTCAGACATCAGCATACCGTAAGACCAGACATCGCTTTCACGCAAGTAAACATGATAGAAGAGCACTTCTGGAGCTTGCCTGAATCAACAATAAATTCGCCTGCGTCGTGGAGAACAGGAAGCGAGTGTAGGCCGTGTCCTTCGATGTCTACCCTCTACAGGGTGCGCCAAAATTATAAGAACATCGTGTGTGAGCGGTCATTTCTACTTTTTTCCTCTTTCTTTCAAATAACGGTCATGATGTTTCATATGTGAGACCAACCTACATCCTTCTTGTTGTGGAAATTGTCTTCAACTGGAAGCGGACTGCATGCGCATGACAAAAACTTTTTAAAAGGAATGACGAATCCTAGGTCAGGTTGTGGTTTGATGCACAAGGTGGCGAAAAATTACGTGCGCGCGATATTTCGCTTCGCTTCAAACATTGTATGAGGAATTTATGTGCTTTTTCTTTTCAAACTGTTTGTCTATTGCTAATTGGTTTGCAAAAGAAGAAATTTGTTTTCCAAGTTCTGACAAGACCTGTTCAAGTTGGAATGCGATTGCGCGGAAAGCAAACAGCTGGACTGAGAGCTAAATGATTTCTTCGAGGCTCACAGTTTTTCTACAAATCGTCCAAAAAACTGGAAAGCATTAGAAAGAGGAAGACATCCCTAAACTGAACCCGTAAGAGAATGAGAACGGACTACCAACACCCGATGTGTGAGGAGAATTATTAAGAAGAGGAATGACCAAAAAGATGACCTGAGCTTGAATAAGAGTGCCGAACAGAACCAAGCCTTTCCGAAAATTGGTTCAGATGACACAAAAATGGAAGTGCGGAATGGAACTTATCACATATCAAACGGGCAGTTTCCCACCTTCAAGCAAAGCAAGATCGGAAGGAAAAAATATAAGAGATTGTTGGATGTTTTCGGGGTGCGGCGGTCCTAGGACGCCCTGTGGTTTCACAAATGAAAGTTCACCGTATAAGTGCCTTACTCTCAAAAACACCTTTTACCTCCAAAGCACCTGCATGAATTTCGTTCCCTGAAAATTTGATGAATTGAGGCTGGATCAATGCTTCAGGAGGCCTCCACAGGTTTTTATGGATAAAAGCGCGGAAATCAATGGAAAGGTCTATCAAGAAGGGATCCTTGAGAAAGCTGTTGCCCCTGGAAGTAGAATCATAACATTCTGTCTTTTTACAGGAAATGCGCTCGGGCATGGACCAATACATGATCCACTTCTTCGAGTCCCTTTTGTGGCGACGGATTCATGATCTGCTATCTGCAGATCAATTAGACTTTCTTTTGGGATTTTATTGAAGAACCACTAAGGAATCGAAATGCAAAAAGTTTGGTGATTCTGAAAAGAACTGCCTAAAATTTGGAATGAAATATGCGTTGAACACCTCCGCCGCACCATCGACTCGCTGAAGAAACAAATTGAGGCCTGTATCAAAACTGATGGCAGCTACTTCAAATCTTTTTTGCAGTTATAAAATGATGGTTTGATGTTTTACAAAATTATTTGCTTCCAGATTTTTGTAAAAAAAGGTTATGACGTGCTTTATGGGGCACCTAGTTTTCCGCCCCCCTGTATCATGTAATACTCATCCTTTTTTTTGTATCCTTCATTGTTCGATTTGTTATTCTCCTCTCGAGAGTTAGGGTCGGGCTCAACCTCACGGAAGAAGTCCTTGTTGACAAGAAGTGCCAGGCCTACCACTGCGGTGGTCGCGCCATATTCGCGCTTTCAAACGTTTCACCATGTTGCTTGGCGTTCAAGGTTGAACCCTCCTATGTCTATAGGGATTCCTGCTCGCCCACCGCTTTGATAACTGTGTTGTAATGTTGATCTACAATGTTGTCTCGACTTGGAAACGAAAACGGATCCTTTCCCTTCCTGACCCACATTATCTATTATCTCGCGATCTGCTTCTTGGACCTCCCCGCTGTAAAGCAAAAGGTAGGTATTCTCTGTGTTTCGACGTACCTTCCTTTGGTCTCCACTTTCGATCTACTTCGCACAACACTTTCATATTTGAATGGAGTGACCCCATCAATTTGATGCTGATTCTCGCCTCTAAGGTAGATGATCGTACACAATTTAATGCAAAGCACACAACAGGCCACAGCTTCCTTTTGACTATTTCATTGAAGTGTCTTCTCAACCGTACTTCTCGTGAATATAAGACCAGACCACAAACCATCGGATTGGGACTCGTTCAGTTGATGGCAGTTTAATTCGGCTTCCATGAGCTGCCAATCCAAAATCGGAAAGTTTGATCATCCGTCCATCAGTTGTAACAAGGCAATTACGAGCTGCTACATCTCTGAAGTTTCCTTTGTTAAATTCAAAACTCAAACTGAAGGCATGAATATAATTAGGAATCCATTTATAAGGCCTTCTCAGCTCAGCTTGCAACCAAGTCAAGATTTTGTGGAGCAGCGATGCCCTCATTGTTCTTCAACGAATTTGAGAGGAACTGGCTAAATGGCTAGAATGTCAAACAATGCAAAATGGTCCGGGACACCGCATTAAATAGCAAGTTTTCCTCATCTCTCCTTACCTACGATTCCCATTCTACTTCTGACTAGTGCTGAAACGGATGCGATCCAAGTTCGTTGTTACTCACCGATGCATGCAGTTTTTTGAGTGCAGATATGCGAGGCCGGCAGCAATGTCGTAGCAGAAGCTTGCTTTTATCAATGGCATTAGCTGTAATAGCTACATTTCTTGGATTACTTGAACAGCTGGATGCGAGAATTTTCTACAAAGTGGGTTCTTGTTTGTTTGACTTCTTTTCACCTTTTAGGTTGAAAACAACGGGTCTCATTTTTCAAGCCTTGACTCGTTTTCTCCGGAACCTATTGACCCGTGCAACCTTCCCTACTCTGTTTCTGTTTTCAGTGACGAGTACTTCTTGTAACATCCGCCTTTAAACGAGTACAGAGCAAGCATCCGAACCCCTCAAACCGAACATGTAGCTTCGATGCTTTCTTGAATGGCTCTGACTACATTTTTGGCATGATTGTCGCCGCTGTTACCTCATAGCACTACGGAAGGAACGATGCACGATAATTTTGTGGTGACTTCTCGAATGATTGGTTACGCTGCGAAGTGGAAGAAAAGAGCGAGAGAGAGGGAATGGTGATAAACTGTCATGACGTACGGGATTCACAGGGCAGATGTTACGCGTTTTCAACCTTGAAGCCTTTATGCCGTACCTTCTTCTGTTTTAAGTACGTGTTCAAACCTCCACCGCTGACCAGTTCCATAACTACCATTACATCGTCTTCACTGTAAACCATACCATGGAGCTTAACCACATTCCTGGAATGCAGGTATAGTTTACAATAAACTTTTTTTTGCCCATATTGTTGCAGTTTTGCGTGAATTCTTGCCGCAGTGGTTTCGATTTGTGAGACAGGCGTTTGACCTCTGGAGGGAACTCAGTCTCACAACTGTGGTAGAACACATGCTATTATAAGAACCATAGGCGTGTCCCACAACTTTGGACAAGGGGGCGACCAAGTTATCTAAATTTCTAAATAAAAGCCACAATTTAGTTACAAGGAATCGATCATTTCACAGAAGACCATGTTACCGCTGATACTTTGTAACGCGATGGCGTTTGAGATCGATCTTATACAGCCGGCTCACCTCCTTTTTGACATTTTCACATTCATCTTCATTTTCACATCACCTGTTGCGCGGCTTTAGTAAAATTTGTGAATTCTTTGATTCCCAATAAAAAATTCCATAAATAAAACTGTTCCCAATACATTGAAAAAGTCCAAAAGACGCATTTCTGCTTACTCTAGGTTACAGAACATCCTAGTCATTTGAGATATAACCTGAAATCCCATCTCCATAATTGTATTGGCTCATCATTATCTCACTGTGTGTTGAATTCTTTTTTAACATTTGTCTTACGCAACGTAACAAATAAACATTAACATAATCCGAGATGCAAAAGTTCCACAGATACGAGAAGTGAAGTAGTAAGCTCGATTTCGTCACCAAACAAATGAACGAATCGCCAACCTATGATCGTACATTCGCATTAATCGTGCCTCTTGATGGAACATTTCGAGTTGGTGCTGTGTATTGGTGTTGACTTTCATCTGAAAGATGCGTTTCTTATTCTTCATAAAATTTCTTCACTTCTTTCTGAAGTTATCTGGTGACGTTTGAGTGCGGAAAGTTTTACTTAAGGTATTTGCGGAACAGTGTCAAATGTATTCAGTATATTGTCGCATAGTCTCATCAGCGGCATGGATCTGTATTACCTTATATGAATTTTGGCATTTATTTAGAGCTGAAATATTTTGGTTGTTAGGGAGGCCTTTCTCTTTAGTCTTTCTTCTTGAGCGTTACTGATTGATTTCGAAGTGTTTTATACATAAAATTGTTTAGTTATCCAAGTTTGAAACTTCGAATGGAGGGGCTCCGAACCTCACTTGATGGTCCCAGAACGGTATAGACTCGCTCGCTGCTACAACATAACAGTTTCCATAAACTTACAACTTTCACTGCAACAATGATGCTTTGGACATGGTCGCCTTTTTTCATCTTCAAGTGTCCCTTCCACACTTCTCCGAACTGTCCTTCACCAATTTTCGTATCCATGGTGATATTTGCTTTAGCCAGTTCCCATGCCTTGTAATTGCATCAATTTCAATAAATTTTGCATGTTTCCAACGGATAGGTATGAAAATTCGGAATGTCAACGGGTAGGTATGAAAATTCAGAATGTTTAATCAGAAGTTGAATTGCACTTATTCCAGCCGACTTTGCCACTAGCTGCCAATTGAAAGCACATCTACCGACTGCATGGAATTCTGCCGCTCCCTCAGCATTTTTGCCGAAAGTAACCTGCCTGCCAATCTTTTCATCCTTACGATAAACGGAATGTGCTTAGCATACGAAGCGCGAGACCGCAGCAAAAATGATCACGTCGTTCTGCGGGTGCTATCTAGCAGTTGCTATCTGCTGACCCTCATTTCGAGGACACTCAGTTACTTTCAAAGAAGTCATTGGGCCTTACCGGCCATGAGATCGCTAGATCAGATCCTAATTAAGGAGAGGTCTACTAGCGATCAAAGAAGAATAGGCTACTACAGGGTGCGCCAAAATTACGGCGACAACGGATGCGCACACAATTTGAACCCTTATTCAAAGATGATGTTTACTACTGCGCTCATTTTGGTTTTGTTGTGTTGACCTTTTCAAAATTAAATATGCATGATTGACCACCAATATGTA